GTAGTAGTAGAGAGAGAGAGAGAGAGAAGAGAGAGAGAGAGAGAGAGAGAGAGAGAAAGCAACCTTTTGGAAGAAACGTTCCTTTCCCTTTTTCTCTTCGAACCAACATGTGTTCAGACCAATGTGTACAACTTTGAAAAAGAATGATCTGAATTCCCGTGAAAGACGTAAACTCTCCACAGAGATCGTATCATTTGTCTCTCGAGGGCGTGGCCTTAAATCTGTCTTAACCAAAAACAAACGTTATCCTGAAAAATGGAAAAGAAGCGTGCGAATCTTCCTTTCGAGAATAAAAAATTTGTCGGGACGAATGAGCGAGTAGAGCTCTAAGAAAGGAATTTCGTTCCGAGTCTCTTGGAATATTTTCCCACCAACGGGACTAGAACTGAGAAACCATTACGAGAAGTCGTGCATCGGTCTCTTTTAAAAAAGCGAGGCAGGTCCAAGCTTTCGTTTTTATTTTCCCCGAGAAAGATAAAGCGAGATCTTTGGACGAATCTACGAAAATCTCGCATTCTCCCCTTCGAGAAAATCGATTCGAGAGAACAATTGCTCGAGAATTATATCGTTTTCTCTTTCCGTGAAAAGATGTATACACCGTTGTTCGACTTTTCCAAGATGTTCGATTAAATTTCAATTAAATTTCAATCGTTTAAAGTAAATCTCCCTTTCAAAACTTGCCGCGTACGCTTCTCGCCAAACTTCCGCTCGAAAGCTTTCAGAAATTTCCAAGAGAGGATGTTTTCGACCGTTGTTGTTAGTGGCCGAATCCTGGCTGACCGGATATTTTGAGAACACGGTGCGCGCAGCTTTTCAAACTTAAAGGATCTCAACCTCGACAGTTTGCCCTGTCAGCCGCAGCTAAACGACTCAACGTTAAATCATGCGCACACTCTGCTCGCACGTTTCAACACCCTCCTCCAATTTCTTCCCGCTAACGTTTCGATATTCCAACGATCGCCTTCGAATATACATATTCGAGGCAAATTTTTAGAAAAGCTCGAGACAGGATGTTTCCTATTCGCAATTTCGGAAAATCATAGGATTCGAGAAATCGAAAGGATTCCGTACAATTGAAATTCGCTCGAACTGGAACAATAAACGTCAGGTCGGAATGAAAAGGAAGGAGAAGAAGTGGAAGCTCGAACGTTTATTTCGTGGAGCATCGGTGTTTTGCATCGACGCGTTTCGATTCAACTCTTGTTTTTTCCGCCTCGGAACCCGTCGCTTTCACCGCGTTCGAAACAACGAGATAGGCGGCACACTGGAAACCGAATGCAAAGCGATATTGTTCCTCGGTAAGAAGATTCCTCGTTCGAGGGAAGGAAAGCTCGCGCCAAAGGAAATTGCGACCGACTGTCTGCATCTAAGCGCGTCTTGCTCGTCTTCCTCCCCGTATAACGAGACCACGCTTCTTCCACTTTAATCCCGTTACGATCCTTGCCTTTTCTTTCCTACGCGTGTTTGGAGAAGATAAAATAAAATTTCTCCTCGCTCGTTATTTCTTCTTTTGCCAAAGATTATCCTCCTTGTTTTTGATTCTTCCTTTTTTTTTTTTTTTTTCATTTTTCACAACACGATTAAGAACGATATCGAAAGATCTCTCGATGAAGTTCAACGACGATAATAGAATTATAAATTTATACGTGGAACAACGAGGATTGGACGGATATCGGCGCGAAAATAATTTCACAGGAAAACTCGGATATTCGCCGATTTTGGCTCGGCTTCACCGAGAATTCGAATTAATGCGACGTACGTAATTAAACGTAATTAACGCGACGATGTCGTGTTTCCTGGTAAATTAGTCGATTAATCTTTTCGCTCTTTCCGTTCCGGGATTAATATTGCGACGCGTTGGGGGGAGAAAAGAAGGGAGAAGGAGAGGGAAAAGTAGCCCGACGGAAGGGGAAAAGCGTGGAGGGAATGAATTTTTAATCAAGAATACGAGAGGGTTTGCTAAAGGCAGCCGGGCGTTTGTTTGCTGCCTTTTCTCATTAAAATGTCGCATGGCTTGCTCGAGTAACGACTACTAACGACGCAATTAGACCACAAAAATTTGCGTTAATTACATCGGATAAGGAGGAGGGGGAGAGGAGGAGAAGGAAGGGAGTTAAAAAGTTTTAAGGATGCATTCGCGCGATCGCGATTAGAAAAGGTTCCCTTGTTTAATCGGTCGGGATAACGAAGAAAGATAATCCTTCCGCGAAACGAGATTATCTCGCCCCGCGATACGCGTTCATTAACGAACGAGAAAATTGTATTCCGCTCAATCTTCTTTCGGAATCACCTTTGTATCCTTGGAAAGAAGGTCTCGTGACCATAGAACAGAAACAATAAAAATTTTTATTCCACGTGGAATCATCAACCTTCCTTATCGGTTAGGACGATTTCACCCGCCATCCGATTTCACTATTTGCAAATTCTCTTCTCGCAACAGTTTCGACAACTGTCTTCCCCCTTTTTTACGATCGGTTTATTTTACGATCGGTAAACCTTTGACAGGCAGGAAAAATATCTTCGTTGTATCGAAATTATCGTACGTTGGCTCATATCTTCTCTACACTAATCTGTGCCACGAAATAAAGAATGGAAGGGCGTTCACCGCGATGTCGAAGAAACGATGCTCGGAGAAGAGAAATAAAATTTCCTCTCCCGTTCTTCAGGGCGTACATCGCCCTCGTACATCGACCAAGTTTCGGTTCAAGGGCGAACGAAAGATCCATTGTTTCGATCCGATTCGAGAGAGGGAAATAATTTTCGAGATCGAATCGTTTCGAGAATTTTTCCACGAGTTCGATGAGTATTTTATCTCCCCTCTCTCTTTGTTTCTTTTATCCTTTACGGGAAAAAAATATTACTACGTCGAGTATTACTCTT